CTGGTAAAAAAACCCATCTGAAGTCAAATATCGTTTCCACAATGTTGATCATGTCAAATAACTCATAGTTACGTGAGTTTTATGTGTTAATTCATATTATTAATTCAGGTCGAATATTCGAAACTTGTAGATGTATAACTAACGAGTTCGCTTGGTTGTAAAGACAGAAGTTATATATGAAGAGATGAATAATCACCGGCAGCGGGATCCAGGACATGTGTTTTGTCCCAGTTGGGACTTGTCAGCTGGATGAACCTGCATCTCAGAGATGATTTTCACTCCATAATTGGAATCCAGTACCGTTTGTTTCAAACACCATCACGTTATCTACTCAGCTAGCTAAAGACTCCTGATAGCCACGTGCGTGTGCATTGCGGTGAAGTTTAAAATCACTTGGTATTGTTTGCTTGAATCTTCGCATTCATGTTTTGCACTGCAATTGATCAGTCTCTTATTGGAATATGTGCATGCTGTGAGGATTGTCTCGATAATGCCTTAATTCATAAGCATTATAAACAAAGACGGATGGCAGCTAGCAATGGGATCCTTGACAGGCACTTCGTCCTATTTGGGACTGATCAATTGCAGTGCTAAATATCAAAGGGAAGATTCAAATAAACAATACCAAGTGAATGTAGCAGTTATATATCTTCGTAAAATGTGAGAACGACATAGCGAACACGTCATTTGCGAAATATCAATCAATTGAGTCAGATTTCACTGTTCATTTGTTTCCATACTAATCATTCTATATTCTCGTTCTCTTTTCTTCGATCTTGTTAACATTCTGCCACTAGACATCTTACTGTCTATTGTTGATGCATACTACTTATGTCTGTCGAGATCTCTAGTACGCAGCACACTGATAAGAAACGATTCTCTGTAGTCCTTTAGCAGTTGCTTGACTTAAGTCCCTGTATAATGTAAACCACCTTTGTTTTCACATGTTCATGAATTGATATTCTAAAAAATAAATGTAATCATTTAGTAAATAATATCAATCATATGCACCCGTATATATTAACCATCGAACAGTGTTATTACCAAAACCAAATCTCATATATATATTTATATTAACATTTTATTGTATTCTTTATTTGTCTATAATGAAAATGTTAACTTTCCCTAGGTGTACTATTCATTCATTATGATTCCACCAATTCATTTAAATCGTCAAACAAATGATTCCCATCTGGATTTAGAACGTGCTTTTACTTCGATAATAATCTTTCCCCTCCTATTCATCAATTATATTCAATCAACAGATTAATGTCTTTCATTGTAAATGAAACCTTTTTTATTGTATAATAAAGTAGTATTTAACATTTAGGATAGAAGGCTGTCTAGTGCTTCCAGGCTTTCCATGGTGGTCTAGCTTCATTTGACACATGATTTCAACTATTAAAAAAATTTATAGGGGTACAGCTTAAGTCTTTAAAAGTAGTATATAAAACTTTCATTAAATAAAACATTTGGTTCATACTAATAAATGAAAAAAAAGAAACAAAAAGAAAGAAAGAAAGAAGGAAAGAACGAAGTTGAATTCATCAGTAAATATCTATTCATTATCGAATAATTCTATGTCAATCAATTAATAACTTGATTGATTGTTTATTCTGTTTTTGTCAGTTTTTACTGTCGATGAAAATTATGGATCAAATTACTTTGGATTAAAACTTTTTTGAATTTTTTTATTTTGAACTTTGGACGATCTTTTTTTTATCGTAGTACATATTTAACTAACTCCGCCTGTAGCTATTGCCGGTCCCGAGCCCGGATAAATGAGGAGGGTTAGGCATGGGGTTAGCGACTCCATTCCGTAGAAAACTAACCCGCTATAAAAACGCTAATGCACATATTTAACTAATTTGTAATAAAATTAAATTATGAAAACTACACAGATTAAAGAAGAGCAAATATGTAATGAAATGTATAACTGATTTGTTTGTTTTTCTTTATGATGATGGTTAATGGTTATTTTTCTGGTTTCCATAATATTTTCTGAGTAATTAGTAGTAACTCCGCCTGTAGCTCTTCTAGAGTTACTGCCGACCCCAAGCCCGGATAAAGGAGGAGGGTAGGGCATGGGGCTAGTGACTCCATTCCGTGGAAAATTAATCCGCTATAAAAACGCTAACCAGAACTGGTGGGCGGCCTATGCACCCGCACGAGGAGTAATAGGCGTAGGTAAGTAAGTAATTAGTAGTACAGATAGATTTTTAAGGTTTGGAAAACTTTTTAACGCACAATGCTGAAGTGTAGTGAACGAGAATACAAGTGGGGACAACCAAATGTATTTTAATATACAATAAATAATCCATTTGCAAAATATTTATCAATTTCTACTGATGTCGACAGATATAAGTAGCATGTTTCATCAATCGAAATTGAAATACCACGAGGTAGAATTTTAAGAAGATTGAAGAAAAGATGACGAGAACAGGAAATGATTACTGTGGAAACTAAGGGGTAATGAAATATGAGTCGATTGATTGACATTTAGCAAATGAAATATTTACTATATAGTTTTCAGATTTTATTAACAAGTTCTGCAATTTTGTGTCACATCCAATCGTCCCTACTTGTATTCTCGTTCGTAACACTAGCATTGAATATCGTTATATATATCGATAGATTTCTTGCAACTGGGATAAACATGTCCATCACATTGTCACTTTTCATGTAATCTGGTATATCTAACTCTTCTCAATTTTTATTTACGCTTATTCATTTGGTGAATACTGTACAGTTGAGCTTTATTTTCCTTTCAAACTCTTAATTTAATTATATTTATGTGTTATTGTTGTTGTGTAGTGAACAAGAACACTGGTGAGGCCGCAATCAAATGTATTTTAGCACAGCATTACAGAATATCTCATTAAAATATGAGAACCATATAATGAACAGCTAATTTGCAAACTGTCAATCAATTGTCTCAATTTAACTGTTTCTTCTACAAATATCCGTCCATAATCTCCGATTATAATTGTTCATGCATTTTCGTACCAATCGCGTACCGTTCCCCTTTTCTCCATATCGGTCTTCTATTCAAATGCATTCAATACCCGACCATCACCATATACTACTTATGTAGATATCAGTAACCCACACCACAGTTGTTTTATCTCATATGTTCGACTATGACACACTGACATATTTATAAAACATTGTTCTAGAAAATACCAGACTATTTTAAAATGAAATCCTCAATGTGAATTACATTTCTATGCACCTAATATGCAACCACCCTAAAAAGAGATACCCATAAATATAACATGTTACTTAGATACTGTAACTGTGACAGATAATTTCAGTCCGACAATGAAAATTAATCTAACATTTTATACGTTTATTTCTTTCTTATGAATATGCTTTATATATAATCTGAGCGAAAGACAAAGTTTAGAAGAAGAACAGCCACAGCAACAACAACAATAACAACAACGAATACATTGAATTGTTCTTTTTGATGACCACATTTTATACCAAACGTCTCCAAATAACAATATTGTTTTATATTTCTTACAAATAATTCATTCCGTTTCCTTATTTTTAAATAGATTTAATACATACTCATAGTTACACTGGGAATTCTCTTTTCTGTCTTCAATTGTACTTTGCCGCCACCAGTTCATTATCAATGTTTCTATCGTCTTCCTTTTTTTCTCCATTTTTTTCTTCTTATTTTTATGGTTTTATAAATCGGACGTTAAATATTCGTTTACTTTTATGTTATCGAAGTATATTTTTCAATGGATAGTTTCTTTCATGATATCCATTCAGTTGGTCGACAAATGAATAAAATTCTGTACATAAATATTTATTCATTTAATTTATTTATTTATAAAGAATTGGGGGAATAGAACTTTGGTTTCTTTCTTTCTTGCCTTCTTTTCGTCACCATTTTCATCATCTTCATCATCATCACCGTCATGATCTATTACATATGTGTTATATCAATCCCCCCTTTTGTTTTGTTTAAAAAGAAGTTATGTTCGGTTTTTAGTTTTTGTCGCCATAACAATAGTTTGCACTTGAAAAAAACTTTATGATGTAAACCAGATGATGATTATAATAAATTTTAAGAAAAAAAGAGCTAGTTAGATGAATATAAAATCTGATAAGTTGGAAAAAAAAGGATAATTTTCACTATATACTGCATACATAAATATAACTTACTTAAGCCTGTTAACCTTCTATAAGTATAGGCCACCAGCCAGGGATCTCCATTTAACTTAGGTTATGAGCTGTACTTTCAAAGTGTTATTCACAGTTACATAATATACCCTTATGGGCCAGGGTAATTTTTGCACTGGTTTTCAGGAGAACCAGACACCATGCAGATTTTTAAGCGGCAACCCAAACAGTACAGCTCAATCCCGTTTAACAGGAGAGCCAGACACTGCCCAGGCTTAGCCCAAGCAGTACAGCTCAATCCCACCCTATAGGAGAACCAGACACTATATAGGCTTCAATGCTACAATCCGAACAGTACAACCCGATTCTGTGGCGTAACCACTCAGGTACAAAACACTCTGGTGGATCAACTTTCCAATTGTTCATAAGTATTATTTATAAATTTGATGTCTGTGTCTAATTGTCGACCAACTTTCATAGTGATGCAGTATCGCAGATGAGTTGAAATTCCACTCGTATACCAATGGTTCCCGTCCTTGTGGTCATGAGGTAAAGAGTTCACAAGTGGGTCTGAAGTTCCTGGATTCCACTAACGATCATACTGGGGGGTCACTTTCTAAGACAAAACGACTGTCCAGTACTTTCTAGTTTTTAATAGTTATTTAATTAACATCAGTTTATAATCTCGATGAGATACCTTCAATACTCACACGTTAAAATATCTCACATTGATTGTATTGTAAAAATTCATATCAGCCTAATAATTAAATTCGAAATATATATTATTTTTCAAATATAAGATGATAATAAAAATGCTAAAGTGAATCGTTGGGAGAAAATAATTTATTACCCACATAAAATTGTCATAGACAAAACCTTCTCTTTTTTTGTTGTTGTTGTTGAATAAAAGCATATTCCAACCACACTTCACTGTCACACTCATCAACATTACTGTCATCAACATCGTCCTCATCATCATCATCATCATCATCATCATCATCATCATCATCATCATCATCATCATCATCATCATCATCATCATCATCATCATCATCATCATCATCATCATCATCATCATCATCATCATCATCATCATCATCAACGTTGTTATTCAACATTGATTGGAAGTAATAATAAAAAAGAAGAACGAAACAAATAAATCATGAATTTACTATTTGACTATTCCCTAGACCATATACTACTATTTGGTTTTATGTCCCAATATATATGGATTTGTGTTTCCTATTTTCATATCTATCTCAGTCTTATCTAACTAATTCATCTCTCACTTTATTAATACTGTTTTAGATTTATTTACAAAATGCACGTATATGTATATATTAAAAAAAAAGGTATATATATGTATATATACATAATTAGCATGAGCACTAGTTTGGGTAGTATAGTGTAATAACTAGACAGAAACGAAAAGAAGATTATTCATAGGGTACTATGATGGGGTGGTGGTGGTGGTATGAATAAGGGGAAAGAGTGGTGTAATGAAAATCCTACACTTGTTTTCAGATATGAAAGAAAAAGAATTTGCGTGAGATTTTTGATTTAAAAATTAAAACGCAAATAAATGAGAATAGATCATTTTTGAAAAAAAAAGATTTTCTGTTTTTTAACGTTCAATTAAATTGCTCCTTTTCTAAAATCATTATTATTATGTTTTTTTGATTTAAACGAATTATAACGTTTATTTATTTGCTTTTCGTCTCTGTTCTTTTTCTTGGAGAAGACAACCAGTGTAGCAGTAGCCTCAACAACAGTAGGTTTCAAGATACACAAACGGAAAAGAAAGATTCTCGGATACAATACAACATTCACCAATCAAATCAAATTTGATGGAGAAGATTTTGAGGATGTAAAAACCTTTACACATTGGCAAAGCAACGATAGTATTCCTACAACTGAAGAACATGTGGAACTCAAAATAATTGCAAACCAATATCAAAGTCAAAATATTCAAAACGAATATCAAGACAGTTCTACTGTATTGAGCTGAAACTTCGAGAACTACTACAAAAACGTACAGGTACTCATAAATAACTGCATAAACAAGATACTGAATGTCTGTTGTTGAGATAGCATCAACAACAACCTACTGTGGAAGAGGACAAACCAGCTTCCATCTGAATAGGAAATTAGGAAAAGACGTTAGAAGTGGATCGGACATACATTAAGGAAATAATCAAACTGTATTACGAAGCAAGTGCTTATTTGAAGCCCTGAAGATGACGGGAAGAGAGGAAGACCAAAGAACACACTATGTCGGAACTTGAAGCAGATATTTATAAGATGTATAACAACTGGAAACAAGTGTAAAGGATTGCTCATGACAGAGTTGGATGGAGAATGCTGATGAGCAGCCTATTCTCCTCTATGAATAGTAACAAGCGAATGTAAGTAGGAAGTGATCGTTTTTCGTCTTCTGTTCACTTTATTCAATTTAAAATAAAAAAGCAAGATACTTTGATCCCCGAAAAGAACAGTATTAGAATAATGAGATGTTAAAAACAGGATTGTTAATGTAGACTGAATAATTATTGACAATTGATGAATTTACTGCTCAAAATCATCAAGAAAATGTAACGAAAACTTCAATCATAAAATAAAGGTATGATGAATTTTAGCGAATAGCTGATGGAGATTGACAGAATGTTTGACATGTTCTCACTGAGTCCATTGGTTCATACATTTGTACTTTTTGAGTTTCAGTTCAACCTTAGTTTTGGCATAATTCAACTGTTATACGTCAGGTAGAGGAAAGTACGACAGTGAGTTCAGTTTTGTTTTTTCAGTCTATGACATACATTTGTAGTATAACAGATATCACATCAGTGTTGTTACAGTTCTGTACCTGAATATCTACACATGGAGATGGTTTGTTAAGAATGTGAATATCGAGAAAAATACCAGCATTTGGTAATCAGCTTATTTTAAAAGTTTTAAAGAATTATAAAGGGTAGAGATCTATGAGTTATTATTCAGTATACTAAACTACAGTTACTGAAGAACACTACTGTCAACCAATATTATATACAAAGTTGTGTTCTCTGTTTCTGGAACAATATAATCGAGTGTTGAAGCGGAAAAATCAAGAGTTTGATAATCATTACAAACTGATCAGGTGAAATTTTAAGCAGAATGTTGATTTAGTGTTAACAGAGATAAAATGTACTAGTTTTTCTCCGCATCAGTTAGGATTTACTATTGATGAAACTCAGAGCAAAGTAAAATAGAATGCTGATTTTTCATATTCGATTACTTAAAGATTCAGTTGAGATTTTTAGCCGATCAATATTAAACCATCATTGAAAACCTGAAATCACTGAATAACCGTTTCGTTCTAGTATGTCTCAAATATTTCTGGTGAATAATTTACACCTTGAAAATGATTTGCTCAAGAGGAGTAAAGTCGTTGCAAATGTAATTACCAGATATATTCTCGACTGTAGATATGAAGTGAATATAAGTGATACATTCAAAATAATCAACAGACAAAAAAGACCAATTTTTCAAAGGCTAATGTTATCAAACGTTTCCGAACAGAGTTATGTATACAGAAATAATGTTTGACTACCCTTTCCCTACCATAGTAATTTGGATTTTTGTCTATTAATCGTTGTTAATTTTAACCCTGTCCCCAACCTTTTTATTTTTATTATTCTTTCATCTTCTGATATTCATCTTATACACAATCTAATTGATGTTTACATATTTGTTTATTTTATCACGTTGAGCGATTACCCAGTCACCTATTAATTCCATAACCTCTGAATTATTACGTATCTCGCGGGTGCGGGATCGTGGATGCGCACTACTGAGGAGTCCCATAATAGGACGAAACGGCCGTCCAGTGCTTCCAGGTTTTCGATGGTGATCTAGCTTCAATTGACTTATGATTTCAACTGTGAAAATACTAAATTTTCCACAAAACCCCCTCTGATTTATTACTTATCAACATATAAAGAAACATAGATCTTAACTATATTTATTCATACACTTTGTATCCCTATTCTTCTTCGTCTTCTTATGATTCTGGTCACGTTTCGAACATTTATCTAAAGTTCACTAATTAAAGTATACTAAACATTGGTTAACAATTATATTTATTATTTTCACAGTTGAAATCATGAGTCAATTGAAGCTCGACCACCATCGAAAACCTGGAAGCACTGCTTTAAGGCCGTTTCGTTCTATTATGGGACTCCTCAGTAGTGCGCATCCACGATCCCGCGAGATTCGAAACCAGGACCTACCAGTCTCGAGCCGAAGCCCTTAACCGATAGACCAGTGAGCCGGCATCCAATGGTGTTAATGTCTAACCTCAACCAATCCACGATTTTGAGCGACCGTTCACCAATTGTCTTCAGTGATATGATATCTCTACAACAGACCTGGTAGAACTCCACTGGCCACTGCTTCCCACTAGAACTCAAGGAAATATCTCTTGAAGTCAGTCACTAGTGAGCATATGATTATAGATCAGAGGGGGTTTTGTGGAGAATTTAGTATTTTCACAGTTGAAATCATGAGTCAATTGAAGCTCGACCACCATTTATATTTATATTAGTAATTGTAATTCTAAGTTGTATACATAAGATGAGACACCATCAAATGGAATGAAATCATTTCATTCTGCAAATCTTGTTGTTCTTGCCCTCTTTAAATTTATAAAGGGATTTGGTTGTATGAAACTTGCCTATGGTTATGTTAAGCCATCTGTACAAGATGGTTTTATTGAAAAGCTCACTTCATTAGATTGTATATCATTATCATTACCTACCTATTTCATATAGAAGTGCTCTTTTATCATAGAAGTTTGCATCGCTTAGATATACATTAGGCACATATGATTCAATTCTGAATCCTAATGAAAGTCTCACAATTAAATCTTGTATCACACAAATCTTGTAACACAAATCCACCAGAAATAACTGTCTGATCGAAGAATCTTCTTTTTCACTTGGACAGTGCTTAATTTTTGTGTTAATTCGGGATTTAGAACATCAGAGAGCATACTTTAGTATTGAATTATTCTCCTACTAATCATGTAATTCCTTAAATATCAGAATGCTTTAGCAGAGACAGATCTTGTGATGATCTTTCTAGTTATATATTCTCTTCATTTCGGCACTCATAATTTATCTACCCCTGCTGAATCAGCATCCCAAGGAGAAGGTTCAGAAACAGACTTGTGGCAGAAAACAGACGTGATTCAGATGCACGTGAAAACTTGTAAAAAATTATATTCCCATGAAATTCACGTCATCGCTTTCTTAAGTCATAATGAGAAATGTTATCATGAACCATGATTTACCTGCAGAAAAATTGGTTTAATCACATCAATTGCTGTATTCTATTTAAATAACTAATATTCATTCACGTGTTGTATTTAAGATCACCTTGAAAAACCTGGAAACACTGGACGGCCGTTTCGTCCCATTATGGGACTCCTCAGCAGTGTGCATCTATGATCTCGCTTCGCGGAGTTCGAACACAGAACTCAACGGTCTCACGCCAAAGCACTCAACCTGGGTTCGAACCTCACGAGGCGGGATCGTAGATGCGCACTGCTGAGGAGTCCCATAATAGAACGAAACGACCGTCCAGTGTTTCCAGGTTTTCCATGGTGGTCTAGCTTCAATTGACTCATGATTTGAACTATGAAAATACTGAAATCTCTACAAAACCCCTTCCGATTATTGAATGTGTACTGAGCAGATAAACATGAGACATGGTTTTACTAGAATTTTGCATATATATTCCCAAAGAATTTTGCAGCATTATCAAACGGATGATTCTAAAACAATAGAATGCTGTTGTTATGACTGTATATATAAATTTCTCATATCACCTGATTAAATAAGATCGTTTGATTATATTATTCTTACATAATGAATAAATGAATAATGTAGAAAAACTGTATGAATAATTAATTAGCTATACATTCTTCATTTCATAGTATAAGGTTATTATCTGTAACTTATATTCCCTTTTGTTCTACGTAGTTTAACTTTATTTGGATTGGTTTTCCGTTGGTATGACGTAACGAACTTCCTACAAGAGTAATTTGCGACAATTTGGATATGATGTAACAATACCCCTATAC